GTATCATTCTCGTATAAACTCTTTTTCTCTCTCTATATATATATATATATATAAACATTACAATTTATGAAATCTAATATATATTGTGCATCACATTAAATTCAGGATTAAATTAGGAAATCATTAATTTTGATACATTTGAAATAAAGATTATTATGGACTTTTACAAATTTTCTCTCCCTTCTCATTAACAAAATAATATAACTAAGAGCTTGTTTGTTTTTTGAAAAAAACCACTGATGTCTTTTTAGTCTGAACCGGTCAGACGTTTTTATTTTCAGACCGTTTGTTTTTTTATATAAATAAGAGCTGAAAAGCTCTTAATTTGCTCTGAAAAAAAAGTGATAACATAATCACGTAAATCCTCTTAATCGCTCCCTCCAGACTCTCCCCTCCATCCTCACCTCCAGATTTAGTCCTCCAAATCTATCACGCAAGACATTCGATCTCCAAATCAATCACGAGCCAGATCGATCCACATATTCTCGTAAAATCATGACCCAGATCGATCCAAATCTATCAGATCCAAAACTTGACTGATTCAGATTTCAGATTTCAGACGTAAAAACAAACAGTCTGACTGATTCAGATTTCAGACGTAAAAACAAACAGTCTGACTGATTCAGATTTCAGACTTCAGTACCACCTCTTAAAGTTCAGAAGTGAAATCAGACTTCAGACTTCAAAACCTCTTAAAAAACAAACGCCACCTAAATCTAATAAGTAACCTAACATATTATGAGCAAGAGTCAACCTAACAAGTATCACCAATTAACCCATTGTGATCACATGTGAACACAAAAAACAAAAAGATAACAGAAAAAAAAAAAACTATAGCTCATAAAAATATTGTGAACAAAATCATTAATCAAGTTTGAACACCCGTCAAACATCTCCAGTAAACTCAAAACCAAAAATCTATTATATTTATTTCATGATGTAAACCACTATTAAATATATTATTTCAATTAAACATTGTGACCACATATTTTTTTTTACAGATTGTTATCTCCTATTTTTTGACACATTATGATCATATTGTAAGTACAATGTGACACAACGACACTAAGAATAAAAAAATAAAAAAATAAAAAACTAAAGGTCCTTAAAAATATTGTGTAAGATCTTAGATACACATTGCAAAAACTTAATTTTTACATATTGTGATCATCTTGTGAAAATAATATGATATAACGACACTAAAAACGAAAACCAAAAAGGAAAAAAAACTAAAAATGCTTAAAACTATTGTATAAAAACTTGGATACACATTATGAACAATTAATTAATGGTTTATTTGAGTAGTTATGAATTTCCTACATAGAAGTTATAGATTTTCTATTTATGTGAAAAATAAATTAATTAAATACATTTATGAGTTGACTAAATTATATTTTATATTTATTTAATAAATAACATAATTATTTCAAATGAGTGATTCACATTGGATCTCATAAATTTTAAGTTCTCATTTGATTAAACCTATATATATATATATATATGTGTGTGTGTGTGTGTGTGTGTGTATGTATATGTATATGTATGTATGTATATATATATGTATATGTATATGTAGGAAAAAGTTCAAACGAGAACTTCTTCATTTTACGAGAACGCGAGAACATTTTTTTTTTTACTATAAACAATCACATATGATACACATTTGATACTAAATCAGAAACGAGGGCGATTTTCGATGCGATCTTGGTTGCGGGCCAAGTCGCCTTACACCACTAAGTCCCGTCACAAGTATTATTACATGTGATAAGGTTGTTGTTAATATGATATTATAATCCATCAAGATCATCACATTTGATGCTAAATCATAGACGCAGACAACATTTGACGCGGCCTAAGTCGTAGAACACATCGTCCACACATCACAGTGTCCCCTTACTCGTATTATCACATGTGATAAGGGTGTTCTCGCATTCTCGTAAAATAGGGGGTTTTCTCGTTTGAACCTCCACCTGTATATATATATATATATATATATATATATATATATATATATATGTATACATATATATATATATATAAGTAGAGGTGAGTTATTATGCAACTCTTTACAATCGTACAATCAGTACAACTCAATCTCAACCATCCATTTAATTTGA